AGCCTAACTGGCGTGGCACTAGTCTGCAACTGAGGGTGCAACAACACCCCAGATGTTGACATTTAGTATGTGTGCGGAGTCCCAGTAACGCCTGCCGAACCCCAATCTAGTCCTTGTGTTGGTCCAGCGCATCTACCGCGTGGTATCTTTTAGGGGCACTGTGTAAATGCAGGAGAAGAAATAAGACAATCTTTCCGGAGGGACGGAGGTTGCGCTATTTTCCAATGCCTGCACTTAAAAAGAATCAGATATGTGAAGACCGGTCCCACGTTTACAATCCCTTTGTTTACTAATCTCAGCAATTCTGTACAGCACTAAACATTTTACTTCCCGTACGTCTGTTTGTACATGTGAGCTTTTTGTATCCGTTCGCAACCGAAATAGAAAGATGCCATCTGCGCTACTCTTTTCTGTAAGCTATTGGGAAGATTTTAAAGAAGAGAGGTGTGTACGCCTTCAATTTATTTAGATCTGTGCCGTCTGTAGCCAGTCAGAGATGGAGGAGTGTTAATTTATCTTAAAGATTTCGTAAGGCTAGTGCCCAGCCTCACGCGGATTCAACAGCGAATCGACAGGAAGCGTGGACGGAGAGGTGGACGGCGAGACGAGGCGATAAAAATCATGTTGGCGGACTGCCACTGTGCCCCCATCCTGCCCGGCTAGACCGAAGGCGGCGTGCAGCGACTTCGAAGGAAATATTCATGTCTAGAAAACATGAGTAATCAAATGGTCAGCAAAGTAACATGACGTCCATCGGGAATTATAAATATAGATGACAGAGGTGAAACGTGAAATTGTGCTTCGACAGAGCGCTGGCGGTTGATGATGAAGTTTCAGTTGGGGGTAGTAGAGATGGAGGAACGGAATGCCTACGAGACGAGGGGATAGGGGTAGAGGAGGTGGAGAAGCAGGGGGCAGCGGACAACAGGGCTCATTGGGTGGAATGTCCGGGACAGCAGCCCTAGGACGGACTACGCCCACAACTTACCCCCGAGTTTCGTCTTTGAAGCGAAACGTCTTCGTCCCTCGAGAGACAATCCGTAAGGCGCCACAGCACGGTAATTTCACTGACTGACGGACTCTGTGAGATCGGAGATAAATTTGACGTCGTGCTACCAAGTATTTTTCGTGATAAGACTCAAAGAAGGATAGCCTGGACGGGACCAGGGAGGGTGGGCGCGTTAACTGTCGGAAACAGTGCAAGAGGTTGGTAACATCCTCAATCACGCGGCGAGAGGTTAGCGAAGTCATCTCACGGAGAAGTCAGACGGTGGCGCGGAGCACCGGTTCAGCAGCAAAACAGACAAGACCCAACTTTAGGATGGAGCAGATCTCCAACAGGACCAGCGGGAGATGGTACGTTCAGTTGTCTGGACCGTCTGCAGCGCGCAGGAGGGTTTCCAGCTGGTGGCGAAACCTACTGATCATCTCATTGGTAATCAGATTATGGGCTGTCGTGCGGACCCCTCGCAGTCTCAACGTGACAAACCCGTCTCTCTCCTTACAACAATTGATTCCACCACCTGAATCATGGACCTAATTCCAAACTTATCAAATTTCGATCGTAAATTCGCATCACGCATTGCTGGCCGGTCACTTGTGAATCCACCACACTGTGCCTGGTGTATCATCGCCAAAGAGACCAAATTACACCCGTGGCATACGCCCCAACTGCATAAACTGCCCAAGGACTTCCGGTTATCGCATGTGCCCATTTGGCCACGTGAGCCCCCGCCAGTCTTCGATAAGCTCACACTATGGATGCCCTCATCGCGTCTTACCATGTTTGCCCACACACGCATCTCTTGCCACTGTGATTCCCCCGGAACACCACACACCATATCCGGCGATAATCGCACCGCTTTCTATCAGCAAACATGTGATTTGCTTTGTCATTGCCGGAATGGCCGGCGCTACTCTACATACCAAAACATGCACATGCCTTAGGGCTCTCTCTCGAACCCAACCAGCAGCGGCACAACATCACATGGCATAGCAGAATGACATTACCTACAAGACAAGGGAGACCGGAGTGGCCATTCTCGGCTCATTAGTCGTCGTCAGCCTGCCATACTTAACACCGATGTGTGGAAAATCTGGGCTGAATTCAGCTACCTGTTGGTTAGAAGTCCAGCGCTCCTAACCACTGAGCCAGGAACTCGTTGTTCTGTCGGTTGCGATCGGGAATATACCATGATAGAGGCGCGCTCACCGACCGTGTTACGGAACTCATTCGTTCCATTGGGCATTGGGGCTCTCTCGCGATTCTTTTGATGTATCCTGACACAAATATTAATGGTCAGGTCGTGAATAGCACACGTACTCGGGTCACCTTATTCTGTCGGCCACTGCGCCCGATTTACTCAATAGCAAAATGTCAGGCTGTGATGGTTGACCTGTGCGTGCGAGAGGCGAGATGGAATGGAGCAAATCAGTCCATTCCCCTCTGTAGGTAATGTGGCGCGCTTGAATCTGACACCGCACGTTAAAACTCGTAGCTTTGAAGAAAGCCGCGTAAGGGGACATTTCAGTTGTTATGCTCAGTATGATGCGTGTCCGTGCAGGCTTACTGGTTGACCGAAATTCAAGCTTAATGTTCCTTTCTTAATGCGGCATCCAAGCACTCTCACACACGACAGACAAGAGCCACCATTTTGCGACGGTCTGGCAACCCGGAGGGTGGAATAAGTCGTGTGCACTGGCGCAGACGGGTACCTTTGTTCTGTCAGTCTCTGGGATCACATCCACTCCCAGTCGTCTCGAAATCGTCGCGCAACCGGCTGCCGGTGGGTGAGTGATGTGCGAGTGCGGTTGATAGAACGAGAGGCCGATTTGCTACAAATATTTCAACTTCAAGCCACTTGTGCTGCACTCACTACGTATGGCGAACGGGGCTGGTGAGTGCCAGCGACGGTCTAACTACTGGGATCCTGATCAGAATGTTCGTTCAAAAAATTTATTCTAGACATTTACAGATCTTGGCGAGATTGTGTGACCGCAGGCTCAGGTGCGACATCCTTCAAGATATGAGTGTGTTCTCATTCAAGTTGGTTGTTGTAGCCCCTGTGAAGAAGTCATCGAAGTGCAGGGCACAGTCCGGATCACCAAAGCCCCGTGGGTCTGCATTAGATTTCCTGAGATCTATTCGTACTCTACGGGAAATAGTTTAGGCGCATCAAGGCAGCATTCTTATGATAAGAATCTTTGGTTCTTCTCACCATTTGCCTTCCCTCTATGAACCATCTTTAGCAGCTTACAGTCCTTTTCAGCCAGGATCGCCATGATAGGTACATTTACATGTTACTTGCGAACTAATTCCTTATCTATGTTTACGAAGCAGCCGTCAATTGCGAAGAGAACACTGGTCGTCCTTCTGGCCGCACTGTCACACTGGAAGGTGGGATCTCGGCCGGGCAACATGACAATTTCGAGGACCGTACGTTTATTTACATCTACCCAAGCCCATTTATCAATGAAAAATTAAGAATTGTCGCTATTTCCCAAGTCATTTTTCGGAGACCGTGCACTAGAATGTGAAGTGGGGTGAATGAGGCTGTGGCAGTTCGCGTCTCCCCGCCCTCCGCCTTTGTCACGCTGCCGTCCAGTCCGCCTAACACTCCGTGTCGATACGCTACTCGAAGTCAATCAACGCTGTCCCCACTCTGATTGGCTGGCGGACGTGGAGACAACAAAGGGCTCACACGCGCTCACAACACCCCGAGGGCGGACACAGACAACAGCTTGCTTGGAGCGCGCTCGCGGCGACTGCCTACGGAGCCAACCTTGTGTACGCACTTTCTTTCGCAGTAAAAGGTTGTCCAACTCAAACCGTCTTCCCTGACTTTTGATTGGGAATCTTTATCTTGTCGTCCACATAACATCCGACAATTGGCGACCCCTTTGCGAACAGCAATCATTCTTCCTAATCTACGGTAAAGCCAGGCGTTGATCATGGACAACTTTCCACCGGAAGTGCAGCATATTTTGGCACCCGCCTCCGGCATTTTTTCGGCAGCGCAACTTACTCAGATGGCTGATCGTCTTATGGAGATGCACGGCTTTTCCAAGCCGTCACTTTGAGCTCTCTCAACTCCCTCAACTCATCCTACGTCTCTCCTTTCACAGTTGGATATCGAGGTCAGCAGGCTGGCCGGTGATATAGCTTCACTCCAGAAGCAGACAGTCTCCCCCTCATTTCGGAGCCAACCGAAGCCGTCCACCCCGCATCTCCACTCTTCACATTCAACCCGTCCAAACGCAGCTGCCATCTGCTGGTACCACACCACCTTTGGTGCCAAAGCCCGTCGCTGCATCTCTCCCTGCTCCTTCACCTCCAAGCAGAGCAAACGGTTAAAACCAGTCAACCCGAAGGTCAGTGCAGCCAATCATACCGACACCTCTTCCGGTTCTGGTCGCACCTTCTATGTTTGTGACGCTGCGACTCGCAGACGTTTTCTGGTAGACACTGGAGCCCAAATCAGCGTGGTTCCCCCAACTGCAGCTGATCGCCGTTTTCCTAGTCTAGGTCTTCATCTCCAAGCTGTCAACTGTTCCCAAATTCCCACTTTTGGCAGTCTGTCCCTCACCCTGAACACTGGCCTTCGTCGGTCATTCACTTGGATCTTTGTGATTGCTGATGTCCCTCATGCAATCCTCGGTTCGGATTTCCTTGCCGAATTCGATCTCCTTGTTGACTGCCGACGTGCCCGTCTCCTCGACCGCACTACCGGTCTGTTTGTCCGTGGACTAACTCCATTTACTGCCCCCACCAACTTATCTGTCCTGGATACAGATATTGGTAGTACTTTTCGGCAACTGCTGCTTAACCACCCCAACATAATTAAACCCCAGTTTTGCAGTGGTGAGGTTCAACATGATGTTGTGCAACATATCCGCACCTCAGGCCCTCCCGTGTTTGCTCGACCGAGACGACTAGCACCGGAGCGTTCTCAGGCCGCGAAGGCGGAGTTTGAACACATGCTGCAACTGGAAATAATTTGACCGTCCGTGAGCCCTTGGGCGTCCCCACTGCACATGGTGCCCAAGGCAACATCAGGCGACTGGAGACCCTGTGGCGACTATCGTGCCCTCAACAGCGCTACCATTCCTGATCAGTACCCCATGCCTCATCTTCAGGACTTTGCTGGAGCCCTTTTCGGCAAAGCGGTCTTCTCGAAGATTGATCTGGGGCGTGCTTTTCATCAGATTCCAGTCGCCCCTGAGGACATCCCTAAAACCGCCGTCACCACACCCTTCGGTCTCTTTGAGTTCATCCGCATGCCGTTGGGTCTACGTAATGCCACCCAAACGTTCCAGAGGTTCATTGACCATGTCTTACGTGGCCTACCCTTTGTGTACGCCTACATTGATGACCTCTTGGTGGCCAGCCGGAATGAAGAAGGACACAAAGAGCATCTTGCCTTGGTGTTTGACCGTCTTGACAAGTTTGGTGTTGTCATCAACCCCTCCAAGTGCGTGTTGGGTGTGCCTTCACTCGAGTTCCTCGGCCATCAGGTCGACTCTGAAGGTTTACGTCCTCTCCCCTCCAAGGTTGAAGCAATTCGTAATTTTCCTCCTCAAACTTCCAAGCGTCAGTTACAGCGATTCCTCGGCATGGTCAATTTTTACCACCGGTTCCTATCGAACTGTGCTGACCTCATGCTGCCGCTCACCAACATGCTTTCTGCTCCCAAAGGTCCCCTCGAGCTGACTGGTGAAGCACTGACTGCTTTTGAGAGAATCAAGAATTCGCTTGCCGATGCCACCTTACTCACGCATCCCGTTCCCGAAGTTCAGCTGTCTCTGATGGTAGATGCCTCGACTGTAGCCGTAGGTGCAGTCCTTCAACAACACCTTGCTGGTTCGACTCAACCACTTGCTTTTTTCTCCAAAAAGCCCTTACCAGCTGAGACGCGCTATAGTACCTTTGGTCGTGAACTACTTGCCATTTACCTGGCTGTGAAGCATTTCCGGCATTTCCTTGAAGGTCGTGACTTCACTGTCTTCACTGACCACAAACCGTTGACTTTTGCACTTTTTTCCCACTCCGACAAGTACAATCCGAGGGAAATCGCCCACCTGGACTACATCTCCCAATTCACCACCGACATCCGCCACATTGATGGCACGAAGAATGGGGTGGCTGATATGCTGTCCAGGCCCTCACTGTCTTCCCTCCAACTCTCACACGGGATCGATCTTTGTGCCATGGCGGCTGAACAACAGCCAGTCGGTTGTCCTGGCGACGAGTCTGTTAGTGGTCTCCAACTCAAAGACGTTCCTCTGACCACCGGCTCTGGTACCATACTTTGTGACGTCTCAACTCTCTTTCATCGCCCTTTTGTGCCCGCCTCGATGCGTCGAGCTGTATTTCAAACTCTGCATGGACTCTCCCACCCTGGGATCCGAGCCTCTCAAAAGCTCCTCGCGGAAAGGTTTGTCTGGCCTGGCATGAACAAGGACGTCAAAGCTTGGGCCCGGTCGTGTCTGAGCTGCCAGCGCAACAAGGTGCAACGTCACAACAAGTCCTCACCAGGTACCTTTCCCAGTCCCGACGCACGGTTCAGCCATGTGCATCTGGATGTCGTAGGCCCCTTGCCTCCATCCAATGGTTTCACCTACCTCCTTACTTGTGTCGATCGATATACTCGCTGGGCTGAAGCTATTCCTTTGCCGAATGTTCAGGCTGAAACCATCGTGAAGGCCTTCATCAGTCGTTGGGTAGCCATGTTCGGTGCCCCATCCACGGTTACGACTGATCGTGGTGCCCAGTTTGAGTCGGCACTCTTCCAAACGCTACTCAATTTCCTTGGCTGCACACGCATTCGGACGACAGCCTACCACCCAGCTGCCAACGGTATGGTGTAACGTTTCCATCGCCAGCTTAAGACCGCTCTGCGTGCCGTCGAAGACCCAGGAAACTGGTCGGGCGACCTTCCTCTTGCACTCCTCGGCATCCGCGCTGCTCTGAAGTCGGATCTGGGTTGTAGCGCAGCTGAATTGGTTTTCGGCACTACCCTCCGACTGCCAGGCGAGATGATCACCCCAACCTCTCGTGGAGCCGACGAGACTCCTGACAATCTTGTACACCGTTTGCGGCAATTTATGCGCTCGCTTTCCCCGATTCCACCTCGAACTCCAATGACTGAGTCTTATGTCGAACAAGACTTGGACAAGTGTACTCATGTGTTCGTCCGGTGTGACCGTGTGCGCCAACCGCTGGAATCACCATACGAAGGACCGTTCCGCGTGCTCGCGCGCAACACCAAGACCTTCCGGATCCTTCGCAGTGGCAAGGAGGACGTGGTCAGTGTCGATCGGGTCAAGGCTGCTGTCGCAGAGGAGCCGCCGGACCTGTCACAAGGACAAAAATGTGCTGACCCCCTAACCCCTGTTCCTCCATCTTCCCTATCCCCTACTCGTTCACCCTGCCCACTGCCTTGCCCTTCCCCTCCCTTGCCCTCTATCCCTCCGTTCCGCATACTTCCTTTGCCCCCATGTCGGCAACCCACAACTGCAACTACTCCTTCATCAACCAACAACACTGTAAACGCGAGCCATACTCAATCTACCCCTGTGCCCCCTGCTGTATATATTACGCGTAGTGGACGCCATGTTCATTTTACTGACCGTTTGGTTACTCATGTTTTTTAGACATCAGCAATTCCTTCGGCATCGCTTCGCGCCGCCTTCGGTCTAGCCGGGGGGTACTGTGGCAGTTCGCGTCTCCTCGCCCTCCGCCTTTGTCACGCTGCCGTCCTGTCCGCCGCACACTCCGTGTCGATACGCTACTGGGACGCGTGAGTGCTCGAAGCCAATCAACGCCGTCCCCACTCTGATTGGCTGGCGGACGTGGAGACAACAAAGGGCGCACACGCGCTCACAACACCCCGAGGGCGGACACAGACAACAGCTTGCTTGGAGCACGCTTGCGGCGACTGCCTACGGAGCCAACCTTGTGTACGCACTTTCTTTCGCAGAAAAAGGTTGTCCAACTCAAACCGTCTTCCCTGACTTTTGATTGGGAATCTTTATCTTGTCGACTACACAACAACTTTCGACAAGTCCATTTATTCCCACGTCAAAATCTTCCTAGTTATCAGAGTTTTGATTACTGGTGGTCTGGTCTCTAGGTCTTATAGAACACAAAGCTTTTGAGCGACGTACATCTCGATGTCATCCTTCCAACCAGGGCTGTCAGCCTCTCAGGCCAAGGCCCAAGTTACGCCTTCTGCACGTCCTTGGTCCTTGCACCAATGCGCAGTAGAAGGCCGCAACTGTTGAGTGTCTATCTGCAGACATTTTGACATATGCAGCAGATCGCAGGAATCACTTCGCAGAAACCCACAAAGGAAAAGCTACATTATTTTACGTCGTTCTACTGTGAGACTGAAATTCAAGCTTTAGTTTCTGACTATGCCCTGTTGTGGACCAAACTTAAGACTAGTCGGTTGTGCAACACTTCACCCGGCCGCTTCACCAGCAGAACTAAAAACGTTTTAAAACCAGCCTCGAGATAGTTTATTATGGTGGTTACAAATGGATGCTTTTTGAAATAAAGAACAAGGAGCAAGTCCAAGACCGTGCTTCATTGATAAACTAGAATTAGTTCCACTATTCTGCCACGAGACACGCATTCAAGGTGACTATTTGGACATTCTCACAGACGTAGGCAAAATAATTCTGCCAACCAGTCTCCTGAAATTTACATAACAGATCGGCAGGTGCCTTTCAAAATGGTAATAGCATGTAATGGGACATGCCTTACTTTCATGTATTGACAGAGGATCTCACACAATTCCGGTCGATACTAAACCAGCTAGATTGGCAGCAGAGTGTAGGTAATCGGCCAAAGTCCGCGCTTTACACGCGCTGTACTGTCACCGTTACAGTGGCTGACTCAAGGTTGATAACTCAAATGAGGCCGTCAAAAACCGATTGCCGCTGAAATACTAACCATTCAATTCTGAGGAAATTTCACCTGTTACTATGCGTCACATTTACCGCAGAACTTAAGGCTTACGAAAAGCATAAGAAGAGGAATAGATATTTTATAACAGCAGAAGAACCCTCTTTAGTATTATGTGAAACAGTAGGTAAATGCGTGTGTAAGACTTAAACGTTCACTTTTCAAGTCTTCCTTCTACGGTTCTTCCCGCTCTTGTAGGAGTTATAGGGCCAACTATTTACAATGCGACGATTCCAGTAAGAAGTTCGGATTCAGGACTCGTTGCCGGTAGGACTCTCGCCTTCGTGGGACACTGAAGGTAAAACACAACATCGGTTAATAAGAACCTCCACTTTCAAAAGCGACTACGTTCGTAGTATGTCGCGTCCGGCATGAAAATGTAAATATAACGGCGCTAAACGACCAAATACTGTGAAAATTATTACTTTTAGATGGTTGAACTTGAAAGAAAAAACATTCTGCTTGGACTCGAGTGGACAGACATGACAAGAAGTGTTGTGGATAAAGTGAACGGGAAAAAGGTAGAGTCGCAATTTCAGATGTAAAGTCTGGATTAGTAGAACAAGAGAAGACGGCAAAAGTTAAAATTCAGGTACGTCTGGGGGGTTGTTCATTTAGGAGGAAGGGAAAACGAGATAGTTATCTCGTAATACACGGCTGCAAAAAGGGACCCACTGTCTACATGAGCGTGACCGTACTAAGCAGCGTACTGCCGTGAAGAGCAGTAGGAAGTGCCTCCCATACTTACGTGGAAGTACACCATTAAAAACAACTACGCCAGTACATAACAAGAGTTGGTGCAGTTCTGTACCCTTCCAGGTGTCCATGTCATTTAATGACCTAGCGCGATGCGAAAATTATCTCGCGGCAGGTAGGGGTTCAACGCGCTCAAGTTATTATTTATAGTCGACACTGCCGATGTGGACAACCTATATGCACTGTCCCTAGGGCTGCGTAGCTACAAGTTGAGAAGTCTTCTCATAACACCTAGGTAAACCAAATGTAAAGGATCTAAGGGGAAGGAGCTTATCATTCCTACATTGCACGCCAGCAAAGGCGACACGCCAATGCGGTGGCAGTCATTGTCCACGGAAAAAAAATCCTCACCTGACCTAGCATGTTCGGAGACACTATCATAAACTATCTTGCCTTTGGTAAGCTGGCTATGACGCCGCCTTTACCAATTGTCTCGGCTGTGGTGACATACGCACGGGCCGTGTCCGTATGAAGCGGGACGGTCGCTCGATTATGCAGTTGTTGTAGATAACCAGGCCTTGTTTGCCATTCATTTATCGCATCCTTAACTCCTAAACTAACTGTCGGCGTTTTATCCGCTCCAGTGGTGTGTAATCCGGCTGAAAAAGAACTCCTTGGTGGAAATATTTTAACCAAAAACGTATTGAGAGGATGAGATCTGCATACATGCAGAACTGGTAGTGTCGAAGTCCACGTTCTGCGAAGGTGGTGTCGTAAATTGATGACGATGCGAATATTGCTGTCTGTAATTCAATTTTCTAAAATCCGGTTGACTGCAGGAGCGTCCCGAGTGCGGAAATCTCAAAGAATATTAACCCCTCGGAGGACGAAAATTTGAAATCAAATTCGAAACGCGCGCGCAAAATTCGAATTATTAGTACAAGTAATAACTTTAGTATTAGTAGCGGCAGCTGGGATAGAAGTATTAATATTAGCAGATAAGTAGTATTTGTTGTACTAAGATGAGTAATACTGGTAGTGCGAATAGTACTAGTAGTCGTAGCAGTATTAGCAGTGGTAGTTGTATTAGCAGTATAAGTAATACCAATAGCAGGGTTAGAAGGAGTAGCATTATTAGGGGTATTAGTCATAGTAGAAGAACTATACGTAGCAGTGGTAGTATTAGTTGTAGAAGAGGTAGTAGAAGTGGTAGCGGTTTAATTAGTAGTAGAAGCAATTGCAGCGGTATAATTGTTGGGAGTGATTTTGGTATTTGTAGTAGTAGCATTAGAAGTAATAGAATTATTAGTATAGTAAAATTGGTAGGAGTTGTGTTGGAACTATTAGTAACACAGGACTTAAACGTAATAGTAGTAGCAGTAATAGAATTAGTAGTTTAATAATAGTAGTAATACTATAAGTAGTAATTGTTGTTGTTGTTGTACTAGTAGTCGATATGTTAGCAGGTGTGGTGGCAATATTAGGAGCAGTAATAGTATTCCTATTATAAGTAGTAGTTGTTGACTTATTAACAATATGATCAGAGTTGGCAGTGATAGCAGTGGTGGTAACTTAAATAGAAATATTAGCAAATGTATGAGTGCTAGTGGTGATAGCATATCAGTATCAGTATCAGCTTATTAAGGG